AGTCAAGACTTCCAAAAACAGGGGAGGAGCAGGGATCTCCTCCTTGTTGGTGGCCGTAGCAGAAAACATGGCCATGTCAGGATCTCTAGGTGGGGGCACCGTCCCCACTTTAGTGGTCTGACGTGCCTTGTCCAAGAGAATTTTAAACATGGCAGGAACAAAGAGGCCCTTAGAAGAAGGCTCATCAGAAAGGGCCGTATTCTCATCATCCGAGAAGCCCATTTCCTGGGGGATCTCCCCCCCCCCAAGAACGAAGCCTCACTGACCATGGAAGGCGAGGAAGCTCGATACTGAACCCTGCCTAGCCCCCCATGCCTAGAAGAAAGGGAGCTCTTGTCTCGCTGGGCAATGCCCCGTGTAATGGCTGCAGAAATAAGCCTTTTAATTCCTTCAGGAAGATTATCCAGATCCTCCACATCCCCATAAACAGAACCAGGCACCTGGGGAGCCAACCTCTGAGAGGAACAGGGGCCCCTGGACGTACCCTCCAGGGGATCACCTGCAGGGGATGGAGAACACCTCCTTCTAGAGTAGGCCCGAGACCTGCCAGGGAAACTTGAGGAAGAAGCCAGGCTAAACCCCCTAGAGGAAGATCTGCTGGATACAGGCCCAAGGGGAGGCCTGGACCTGTCCCGGGATGAAGGCCTGGCCGATTGGGCCTGCCTCTCCGCCCTCGCAAAAGTCTTCTCCAGCGCCCTATGCCGCCTGGCCTCCTCCCTAGTGGAGGACCTAGAAGGGCGCCTAGTGGCCAAGGATCCCTGGGGGGGAGCCCCCCGCCCCACCTCCTGATCCAGGGCCTCCTCACCCCCAGTTGGGCCCACCACCTGGCCCTGGGGAATCTCCGCTCCCTCGTCCATAGCCACCTCACGTGTCCGACGAAGGGGCTGGAACAGGCCTCGAAGTCCCACCGGAACCAGGGCCTATGGGTCTGTGGGGAAACTCAGGCCCAAAGCTTCGTGCAAGGCCTCACTCCCAAAGGTAGGCCGAAGCAAGGCCCCGCGCACGTGGCGACCTCCAAAATGGCCGCCGGAACAGCGTGCGTGGGCGAAACAGCCAGCAGGCAACTCCTGCGGTTGAGCCTGGCTACCAAGGCAGCAGATATCGGAGCTGGCACCCCCGCACTCCCGGGGATAGGGCTGAGGCTCCTGGCCCGCAGGGGGGAGGCTAAACGCCCCACAGGGCCCTCCCCAACCGCCCGAGGCAGAGATCTGTCCCTTGGGGCCGCAGCAGTACAATTTAGAAATTTTTAAAAGTGCCCAATTAGCCAAATAGAACCAGATCGTAAAACAACCAAAAGGAAAAATCCTACCTAAACACTTTTCTAACAGTACTTGGACCCAGACTGAGAGAATCTGGGCCAGGATTGGAAGGCACCTGTATTTATAACTTTGCTCTCAGTCTTGGACCAATCAGGCTAAGATAAAACCCACACGTGACCACTCCCTCCTCCCACTCTGGAAAACATCATATACAAATAAAGCATAGCAGTGTCCGATTCCTTCCTTCTAATCCCTTAAAATTTTGCCTCAGTTTATTATATGACTAACCTTCTAAGTGAATTTAGACTTTTGGTATTATCACTGATTTCTCAGATACTGCTTATCCATAGCCTACCCTTCTAAATTCATCCTTCCAAATCTGCCTCAAGGGAGATAGACAACTTTAAGAAGATTAAGAAGTATGAGGTATAAACAAAGAAATAATAAATAAAATTCTAAGCCAGTCATGGAATACTTCTCTTTCTAAAATCAGTTGAAAATGAAATGAATTGGAAAGTCTTCTTACTTGGATACAAAGGGAAAGTGTTAAAAATTATGCCACAGTTGTTAAGTGAATTATCACAGTTGCTAAGTTAATAACATGGTTGTTAAGTGAATCTGGCTTCCCCATTGTCTTTGCTTGTCAAAAGGTTGCAAAAGGTTGCAAAAGGTTGCAAAAGATAGTCACATGACTCTGGGACACTGCAAATATGATTTGCATATTTGCAAATCGTGGTGCAACTGGCTCATAAATATGAGCCAGTTGCATCACGAGCATCTGAATTTTGATCATGTGACCATAATTGAGCCCAAAATTTATGTTGCTAAGTGAGACATTTATTGAGTTTTGCGTCACTGTACGACTTTTCTTGTCATAGTTGTTAAGCAAATCACTGTATGTTAAGTTAGTAACACAATTGTTAAGCGAATCTTAGCTTCCCCATTGACTTTGCTCGACGTTTGCAGAAGGGGGTTACATGACCTCAGGACACTGTAACCATCATAAATATTAATCAGTTTCCAAGTGTCAGAATTTAGATCATATGACCATGGGGATGCTGAAATGGTTGTAAGTGTGAAAAATGGTCATAAGTCACTTTGAACGGTCACTAAATGAAGTGTTGTAAGTTGAGAACTACCTGTATAATCTTTTCAGGTTTCATAAAGTATTTGTCAGCATTAACAATCATACCTGCTGAGGTTTCTATAAATTTTTCACTTGTTTTCTTCTTTCGCCATTTCCACGGTTTGAAGATTTTACCAATTGCTGAAAATTTGCCCTTCCTCTTAAAAGGAGGAGTTTGAGATCCCGGATTCATCCCATCTGAGTTGGCAACTGATACTTTGTCAATCCCATCAACTGTATAAACAAAAAATAAATAAATGTATATATATATATAATATTTGCAATGTATGAAGACCATCCAAGTTTCTGTTTTAAGATTTAATCATTAATTTATAAGGGAAGGAAGACACTCCTTACAGCAGGGGTGAAATCAACTTCACTATCGGTTCACAAATGTGAGCACGTGCGCACAGGACCTTCTGCACATGTGCAGAGTGTCAAAAATGGGATGTTATGATGTCCAAGCAGGTGGGCGGAGCCTCCTACCACCAGTGCTACCGGTTCGCCCGAACCAGATAGAACCGGCTGAATTTCACCACTGCCTTACAGACTAAATTCATGTACTGCATTATAGTATGGGTTGATTATTAAGGGTTTGCTAAATAGATCACAACTGGCTGATTCCACATATCATACAAAACCTTAAACCGAGTAATGCCACCTAATAGCTTAGTTTGACACAAGAACCCAGGCAGTTTGTGGTAGTGCTAATCTCAGGCCTCTTAAAATTAATTTTAAACATAGTAAACTATAAGAAATACCTAATGTTAAAACTTAATAAGGTATGACATACCCAAACATACATGAGTGCAGGTAGTCCTTGACTTATGACTACAATTGAACCCAAAACTTCCATTGCTAAGCAAGACAGTTAAGTGAATTTTGCCCCAGTTTACAACTTTTTTTGACACAGTTAAGTGCGTCATGTAGTCGTTAAGTGAATCTGGCATCTCACATTGACTTCGCTTATCGGAAACCGTCTGGGAAGGTTACAAAAGGTGATCACATGACCGTAGAACAGTGAAACTGTCATAAATACACACCAGCGGCCAAGTGCCCAAATTTTGACCATGTGACCTTGGGGACGCTGCAATAGTTGTTTAAGTGTGGCAACCGCTTTTTTCACTGCCCTTTTCAACTTCAAACAATCATCAAACAAATGGTTATAAGTCAAGGACTATATTTTCGGGTGACTACCACATCACTATTCCATTGTGAAAATTTGCTTATTTATCAGAGATAAATATTATAGAACCCTAGAATTAAGGAAATGGAAAGATTTATGTAACTAGGTCACCAAGTCCCTTGCTGAGTGCTAAAATCTTTAAGTTCAAAATAGCTTACAGTTTACTTTAACTTGAAATTCACATTCTACTATCTTCCAGATTTTCACAGCATGTTCTGAGAAATTATTCCAGGAAACCTAAACTTACTGTTTATGATGCACATACTTGTTTTTCATTATTTGTGGAACAGCTTGCCTTCAAAATATGTGGGTGCTCCATTACTGGAGGTTTTAAAGAAGAAACTGGACAGCCGTTTGTCTGAAACGGTATAAGGTCTCCTTCCAACTCTGATATTTATTTTATGTTCCACAATTCATATAGATTATCTACATCATAGTTGAAGGATTGCTTTAATTTCTATTCATGGTAATTGGTATACATGGTTTTGTGTTCTTTTGTGCAGGTTTAACAGAGTAAAGTAACTTTGTTGTTTGGACAAAATGTTTGAATTTTTTTAAAAAATCCTAAATCTGTCCATTGCAAGATGAAGGGTATGAAACATAATGAACCAGGCAGCTATGGCACAGGTTGGGTGTTTTAGGGTTTTTTAAAAAAATATTTCCCAGATTCAGTTGCAGAATCTCAATGGGTGGCTTTAGGCTAATCATTCTCTCAAACTTACCTACCTTACAAGATTGTTGTGGGAAAATGAAGAGCCGTAGTGCTGTACATGCCACCCTGAACTCCTTGCAGAAAGGCAGGATATATACCTAATAAATCTCTTCAATTGTTTGTTTCCTACTTAGAACTGGGGTGTGTGTTTGGAGCACACAATTAATCTCTAGTTAATAAAACTGTCAAAGGGGGGGGGGACTTTAAGTATAGCTCAGCACAAGCTTCCATGCAGTTTTCAACATGTCGCTATACAACTGTTAACTTCAGGAAGTTCTTTCATGAGCTAAGCGTTCTGACAGCATTTTAATTAAAGGAAAGGGGAAAAAGCTTGGGTATTAATGTGGGTGGTTGAATAGTAATTTCCAGATGGGGCTGCCAATGCTAGAAAATGTTAATTAAGCCTCCTGCTAGAGAAGAGATTAAAAGTGTAGGTAGTCGGGCTTGCAAATGATTCCTGACTTTTGCCTTAATATTGGGAATGTGGGTAGAGAAATGTAATCATAGAAATAAGATACCATATATTTACTACTTTTGACCTTGAAATATGCGAGGTTGCTCAAGATTTTTCTGGAGTTCAAAAATGATTGCACCATGTTATGTTAACCAGCTTTTAAAAGTTTAGTTGTACTTATTCTACCCATAATGATTAATTTCTGAGTTATCCTGTGGAAGGTTTCTGTGATTTATTTCCATACACAGCCATCCCTATCCACCCAAACTTTGAAATGAAATCTGGCAGAAATGTTTGTTTATCTAGACAAAATTTCTGTATACAGCATTTCTTGATTGTTTTACGAATGCAATTACATCAATAATGTCACATATGAGATGCTCTCTGGAATTGAACTTTCATTTTGATTTTCACAAAGCAGCAAGATTGTCTGTTAAAGGAAGAAGACTTGGACATTTTAAACTAAAACAATGTGTATCATTGTAACAATTTCATTGTTTCTGAGCAGGTGAAAAGTGTGTCTAGATTAGAAATTGTAATTATATATGAATGGTGTTTGGATCAGACTTACATACTTGTCAACTTTTCATAATCAAAAAAGGGAAATATTTACTATGTATCTCAATTTCTTTTACCTCAGCAGGTGGCAGCACCTTTCTGACCTCAACTAATTTCAGAACAGTGGAGCAAAGATAAAACTTGTTATTTTGATGGGACACCACTAGGAAAAAACTAAAAGTATAGAATTTAACTGAGGAGGGCAAATCACTTCTGAAATGTTCCCGAGAATCTTATTATATGGATATGTCCTTGCAGTCCAACATATCGGAAGCCTGGCCTAAAGGCTGAACAGGTAAAGGCAATGTGAAAATAAGACATTCACTTTTTCTCTCTGATACACATTCTGTGTCTGAAACCTTTAATGGATATTCTATATATAGGTGGAATCATCAGATTCTAATATTTTATATTCTCTTCATTTGTTTACAGTAAGGGTAAAGGACCTTTTATTGTCAAATTTATAAAAGGCATATTCCCATTTTGACGGAATCAAAAACCACCTAGATGCAATAAAATTAAAACTTCCAAATGGATCTATTGTCTGGGCTTGCCTATTCAGAGGCAGGCGGGCCATCAGTCATAAAAAAAATTGTCCTTTGAATCTCTACAGCAGTGATGGCTAACCTTTTTGCCATCACATGCCAAAAGCGGGGGGGGGGAGAGCATGGGTGGTCATGCGCATGCGTGCCCACATCCATAATTCTATGTGTCCTCCCGCACATGCATGGACGACCCCCTGCCCAGTGGATCCATTTTTCACCCTCCCCAGGCTCCAGAGGCTTTCTAGGAAATGACCCAACCCACAAACCAGAAGTTCGGGAATGGAATTCCGGATTGCCCATAGGGCCCTTTTTCTCCCTCCGGAAGGCAAAAAACAGCCCAACACGCAACCCAGAAGTCTGTTCCTGAACTTCCAAGAAAAGTGGCCCAACGCGCAATCTGGAAGACTGTTCCCAAACTTCCAATTTGCGCATTGGGTTGTTTTTCGCCCTCCAAAGGCTTCAGGAAAGCCTTCAGAGGACCAAAAATGGCCAAAAATGAAGGCCAAAATCAGCTGGCACACTGGAACTGACAGGACAATGTCTCGCATGCCCTGAGAAATGGCTCTGCATGCCACCTGTGGCACACGTGTCATAAGTTCGCCATCACAGCTCTATAGTTTACATATGGCTTATGCCTCCCGGAATCTTTACAGAGAACTACACAGTGCAGTCCCACACATGTCTATTCAGTCACAATTCTGTTTGTATCAGTTAATACATTCCCAGACACAAGAAGAGAAAGATTTACCTTTCCTAAGTTTTGCTGCAGCTTCTGATGAAAGAGAACATTCTTTATTCTACCACCAACCCCTCATCCAGAGGAACACATTTGTAACCTAAGCCTCATTTTGCATGCAGCAGCATTCTTCCAAAGATATTCATCAATTTCTCTGCTCTCTTTAGGTACCTTATAACCTCCTATGGTCCTGGATATAAAGGAAGTTAGTTCTAAGCTGCAGATATGTAGGCAACTGTGTAGGTAGTCCTTGAGTTAGGACTGATTGTTTAGTGACCATTTCAAGTTATGATAGAGCTACCTTGGAGCTAGTTATGACCTGAACTTGAAGTTACAATGATTGTGTCCCTTGTGGTGACATGACTGAACTTCAGGGACTTGGCAACATGGACACATTTACAGCCCTTTGCTCCATCCTGCGGTAACTTGACTATGTTTTATAACAGTTTTGCCAAAAATCAGCACTTCCGATTTTTGGCAAAACCACTCCTGTAGAGAACCATTGGTTTGTTTAAAAATTGCAGTGGTCTTGTAACAACTGCCACAAACACTTCATAAAATCAGGGACTGACAGGCTCCATTACAGTCCTAACTCAAGGACTACCTGTATATGTTTATTTAACCATTATCAAACTGCATTTGTTCTTAATTGATTGCTAAAAGATCATATCTACAGCCACAAAAAGGTACTATTTATACCATAGAACCCAAATTGTTACCTGGAATGTTTTAAAAATAGATGCTGAAATAACAAATGAGCAAGAAATGAAATGGCTACAGGTTTGTATATATTTATATAAAAATATGAGATTAGGGCACATTTATAAGGGTAACAGGAAATAAGATTGTTTCAGCTGATGCTAGACTGGCAAGATAGAGATGGCAGGTGCCACGGAAGACTTTTTCTGTGTTTTTAATTTTTTGTTTGTGCGTCCTTTTCAACCATCATACATTAGTCTGTCTTTCTTTTGGATAAATATAATAAATCCTGTGTCAATAAAATTGAGACTAAGTGACCAAACACAGAAAAGGCATCTTGGAGA